CATTTTTAGTGGTAGCTAAATTCCTTTAAAAAAGGGCTAAAAAAGCTAAAAAAAAGTCGTTGTGGCTAAAAATGGTAGCTACAATTTTTTACTTACATATACATATATACATAAGTATACACGCAAACATTTTAAATAAGTAATGGTATAGAAAAACAATGAACACTAAACGCTAAACGTTTTGGTATAAAAGGGGAAATATACGACACCAGCTTGCTGTCTCCATAAAGTGATCGTACCATCAGGCTCGAAGCATATAACTTACAATACAATATTATATATATGGTACAATATTTATTTCTTTACAAATGAGGTCGAAGAAAGATCGAAATGATTAGAGCCGAAATTTCACAAATTTTCTACCATTTTGTTAAAAAATTTTTTTTTGTTTTAATTCACAACTGCAATATCGCGAACTTAACTTCCACAAACACGGCTTTGACTCATATAGTGCAGGAAATTTCCGCCAAGATATTCTTTACTTAGAAAATTTTGCTAATTTCACCACTCATGACACCAGCATGCTGGTACGATCATAAAATTTTCAAATAGTTTTTGAAGTCGCACCAGCAGCTGGTACAATCACACCACAAGAACATACACGGTCAATCGATATGATGGGCCATTTAACAAATTATGCATATTAAGGGCGGTAAACTTATCTATTTTAAACTATAGTTAAATCGTTAATAGATAAGTTAACAGCCCTAACTATTTTACAGTATGTATGTATAAAAACGTAAGTAACATACAATATATACATGTATATTTCTTAGTTTAAATATTCATCTCCTACTTAAATGAGAAAAATGAAACCTAATTAAGCATATACAACTTTTTCACGCCATGTATGAATAAATTCTCCAAAGGGCTAAAAAGGGGCTAGGGGTAATTTTAAATTTACGTGGCCAAAAAAGGTATGTGGTAGCTAAATCTAGCCAACAAAGGTCTAAAACGGCAACACTGGTCGTCATAGACAAAGTGTTTAGATAATGAAGATAACAAATTGGAAGCTGTTGCCCGCAGTTCGTCGTTTTCAGTGTGTTCAGAACTTAAGAATACGTGTGAAGTGATCGTCCCTAAATGTGGTATGAAGCGCAGACCACTGGTATAGGCCATAGCATGATTGAGAGAATACAGAGGTTGCGCCGATCTCGGACCGCTATTCCTCTCTTAACGAATTTGACAGAATCGTTGTTTACATGACGTCACACTGGTGCAACTTGTTTACGTTTTCCTGGCAACATTTTTTCTTCTTCTTCCATTCTTGCTCACGTTTTGGCCTTTCTCTCTCGCAATTGCACCAGTGTGACGTCACATAAAAGTTATTCTCAAAAATCTGATCGGCGCAATCTTGTATTCTATCATTCTTGAGGCCATAGAACCATTTAATCTGTCAGAAAGGAAAAAGTGAATACTCAGAGGTTTGCATATATGTATGTATGTAAAATTAAGTTATTTTGTGGCATATTTTAGACCCGATTTGCATATAAATGTGTGCATGCAATTTTTATGCTAATAATATTAATTTCTTAATGAATGTAACTTTTATATAATGAAATAGTTTCTAGCAACCGAAGCTTTTTGGTTCATATTCTACTTATGTATACACAGCAGACTACCCAGGTAGGGCTTTGCGAGTAAATGTTTCTAAAAATTTAAGAAAAATAATATCGGCAATAATGAAGCAGAAATAAAGAAAAATAAATTACAATTTCTTAAATCCTATTTACATCCAAACTTTTATAAGTATTTTACAAATCGAACACTTCCACTTTGAATGAGCGTTTACTAGTTGGCACATTTAGATGATTCGACGAAGTCGCTGCAGCGTTAGAAAGATTCAAACGGAGATGGGAGCTTCGCATTGTTACAGGCCGATCATCGTCTTCATCATCTTCATCCGAAAAGTCACTTCGTGTTCTCACAGGTCCTCCTAAAGCCAGACCACTGTAATCATCTTCGTCATCCTGTAGGACAAGTTGGAATTTTTAAAAATAATAGTTAATCATGAAGCCATTAAAAAGTATTTTAAACAAAGAAACCCCCTAAAATTAGGAGAACATCCCAAGTTCAATATGGAGTGCGTGTTAAAGATTCATACTTACACATCTGATAAATTTTAATGAATTTTACGGAAAAACTACGAGTAAGTACAAAATACTGATATTACTAACGTGTTGCTTTGCCAATTGATCCCTAAGTAAAAACTAATTTATTTTCTAAGTACGATAAACTTCCTTATTCAAATAAGACCATATCTCGTCACGTTCAATGCAAAATACGCTGTTTGACAATTTTCAAATTTCTTTTAGTTTTTCATTTATTTTCATTAAGTATTAGTACAATAATATCAACATCTTTTATAGTACAACAAATACATTCAAAAATATTGCACATCCATTAATAAAAAAAACACATATTTAGTTATACAGGGTGTCCCAGAAGTAACCTGCCAAACTTTAGAGGAAGGTAGGTGGGGTGTGAGCTCTCTGATAAAAGAAAAAATTTCAGGTAAAAGTGGTACCGTTTTTGAAATATTTACATTTTTTTTAATTAAAAAAATCGTGCCTGTTCATGTATGTTTTTTCACTGCATCTACAAACCAGGCTATACTTAGTAAATTTTTTATGTAAAATACTTCCAGATTGTTACTTCTCCATACTCAAATGCAATATAGTTAAAATATATTAAGGAGCCATCATAAAATTATGACTATTTTGGGATTTTTAACTTTTTGATATTTTCTTCCCCAACTTTCACTATCTCTGGTGAAAAAAAATGTACTGAGCTATAACTTTACATTACATAAAAAAATTTTTCATTTAATAAAGATTTCAGAAAGGTGCCAATGAATTCGAATAGAATAAAAACTGATAGCCGCTTTTGTGAGCAAAGGACTGAGACACGCTAGAATGTATTTAATAGATTTAAATTTACAAAGGTACATTATTACCTGCTCCTGACATTATTTCGTCGGTCCCTACGAAGAGTAACACATTTCACTATTCGCGTGGAAGACTAGCACATTTCACTATTATGGTCTGATTATGCATACTTCGCACAACTTCGCATAAACTTCAAACTGTAATTTCGTATGCACTTTGTATGTATTTTGTATGCATTCCATTACCCAGAAATTAGCAGAACTTTTCAAAAACTTAGCGATCTGTTTAGTCTAGATTTTGCTGCACGATTTCTTAAGTTACATTTTTATTGCACTGGTACAAATGGTTGCGCGAAGTTATGCGAAGTATGCATAATCAGACCTTTAGCGTGGAAGAGTAGCACATTTCAGAATTTTGCGTGGAAGAGTAGCACATTTCAGATTTTTGCGTGGAAGAGTAGCACATTTTACTATTTGCGTGGAAGACTAGCACATTTCAGATTTTCACGTGGAATAGTAGCACATTTCACTATTTGCGTGGAAGAGTAGTACATTTAGGGTTTAAACTAAATCATAAAAGCATAATTTATATTGGAAATTCAAGTGCTTATTTTATATTTCTATAATTCTATCATAAAATTCATGAAATTCAGACGGTATATAGCGTTTAGTGATCATTTGCTGGAGATCATCCACTTTTCTTTTTTTAACGGCATTTTTCCCCTTTAAGCTTTATGCAATTCATATTGTTTTATGGTTAACCATTGAAATTTTGTTTTCAGTATGTTCAATTTCAACTAAAATAAAGTTCATTTAAAAAAAACATATAAACCCACGCTTAAAATTTTGTAGAAATCTAAAAAAAAATCAACTAATTTTCATTCAAATTTATTTACTCAAAAGTGTTAAAAATTTTTTGAGTATGAAGCTTTATAGCCGATTCAATTTTAGTGTGATCCGGTAGTGCATTCGCTACCATATAACGAATAAACACAATTTATTTTTATATGGAAGAAAACCGCAACAACGGAAATTTTTAGCCACTTGAATCTATATACTCAAAAAATTCTGAGAAAATAATTTTGACATTTGGATGAACATTTTTAGATTTTTTTAGTTTTCTACAAAGTTTCAAATTTGGATTTATATGGACTTCTTCAGAGAATGAACTTTATTTTAATGAAAATTCTTAAAAATAAATAAATGAACATAAGTGGAAAACAATATCACTTTGAAATGAAGTGCTCTCGATGCTTCTTTATGATATAATGATCGGATTTAAACCAAATTAATATGGGACCACCTGTGAGGTAACCTTCCTCCTTTTTGTGAAGTCGGTTAAAAACACAAAGCAACAAAGAATAACTAATACATATATAGTGTTTACTAACTACTCATACGTTTAACGAACATCCAAGTATATACATAAGGATGCATACGTGTTTAATTTTGTTATAATTTCTTGTGTAAATATTTACCTTTGATTTTGTTGTGACTTCGAAAAACTTTTTTCTACGTGTTTTTGTATTACTTAATTGCGAATTAGACATAAAGTTACTTTTACTCTTATGAATAATTTGTAAAGATGCAATCACCAGCGTTACATTACGAGTATTTCGAAGTACAGTAATTGACGAAATACCCGACACGGTTTGAGAAATGTTCATCGAGTAGTCCTCTTCACATTGAGTATTTATGGATGTATGTACATGGTATTTATAAGCTAAGCCGAAATCCGCATGGAGTTTTTATGTACATATGTATGTATATATTCAAATCTCTTAACTCCAAGCTCATCATGTTTCCTTCAGTATTAAGTACATGTTTATGTATGTATGTAGTTTATCATTATCATTTAAGAAGTGTGTAGGCGAATTTAAGAGAAGCCGAGCGTCAATATTCAGATTTGCGTTTGCTGTTCTTAGGTACATTCTATATTTTTCCAACAAACTTGTTACATACATAGGTATGTGGCCGTCCATATATAACATCCATCTTTGTTTAGACAATTCTTACTGAGTTATTGATCAATTGTATTGAATGTCAATGGAAGCATTCAGTAATAATTTTTGGTTCAATAGTGTCGCTTTACCGATTTGGCTTTATTTTCTACAAATCAAATTTTAAATTTGCTTATAAATCAAAGTGAAAACGAACAGTTCGTATCGGCTATATGAATTACGATTTCGTCCCGTAGTCAAAAGGCCTTAACAACGATAGCGATGTTTAGTTAGCGTTAGTTTGTTAGCGTTGATTGCTTTTTGATGATTTAATGAGCAGTCGTGTATTGAATTAGTTATGACGATTTCGATCCGCATGATAACAATTCAATGTCTTTAAAATTAGTGAAACATCTCCAGTTTTTACATACTCCTACTTCAAAACGGGATTTTTCTCTTTTATAGAGATATAAAATAGTATTTTAATTATTAACTTTGATTAATAAAACGCTCGCTAATATGGTTTACTTGGAGGTAACTGTTGCGTTTTTTAATTAATTTCGTATTGTTTTGTAATTGTATTTAACTAAACTTTTCGGCTGATTTGTTTATCGTTCTAGTTGAATTCAATTCTGTAGAAAATGATATAAACAAATATATACATATGTATGTGTGTATTAAGAAAATGTTGTTGGCTTCAAAAACAGCGTTTTTATCTTCAAAGGCATTACCGTTATACATAGCATCGATGTCATATGATATTCAGAGATGTACTTTTCTAAATGCAATAAAAATTAAATATGTACCAGTTTCCCGTGCAAATTATTCGCATCCAATATTTTGGAATAAAATGGAAATAAATTAACCAAGTATTTGCTTCAGGAGTTTGTTTTATTGCAGTAACTACAGATTAGGGATGTTGCGAATGTGGAATTTTAGACATCCGCGGATGGGAATGCGGATTCGAATATCTAACAGCTAACATCCGCGGATGCGGATGCCAATGCGGATGTCAAGTATTTTTAGGAATTCGAATTTAGAATAATGGCGAGATCGTTGTTTAAACAGCGCTTATAAGCCAAACGAGATATGCCAGGTTTTTCTAATGGCGATTTCGTTTCTACCAAAAAAATTTCGCCTTTTGATTGCTCCTTTCTCTTTTTGTGTTCGATTCGAAACTAAAGGCAAAGGGTGAGCAAATTTTGTGTTCATTTCTTAAAGTGTTACACTATTGTAATGCAAAAATCACATTCCCTGTCCCGTGAAGCTTTGTCAGGGAAGATGGTTGCCCTGAAAATCAGATGGTTGTTTAGAACGGCAATATTATGAAATGGGTGAGCTAGACAAGGACAAGAAGGCAAAAACACGCTTTTTTACAGGGTTTAGTGTAACATCAAACACATTTTGCACCGGGGTTGGGCAACATTTTTTCGAAGAAACGAAATCACCATAAAGCTTTTTAAAAAGAATTCTTCATTCTCATTCCTTTGGCTGTTTCAGAATTTGGGGAATCTGTAACTTCATCGGCGTTTTTCGATTTTAGTTTCTGTAATTCATTTTTAATACTTTCTGCTGCGGTTGGTTTGACAAATGTGTACTTTTAGCGAACTGGGAAAATAAATTATTATTTTCCAGGAATGAAAATTTTCAATAAAATTCTGTTTTTAAAGTCGTGGCTGCCAGCCGAATCGGATCAGAATATTGTTATTTAAAAAAAAGCACCGTTCTCTTTTTATAAGCATTTGAATCTCAGATAGTAACGTTATTCTTATCTTCTTAAAGGTCAGACCCATAGTTTTTTTAATTATTTGAGCATCGCTTCTCTTTATAGCCAGACGTTGATCATTTCTGCTTGAAATCCCTATTGAAGGAGCTTACTCTTTGACTTTAAATAGCAAAGAAGGGACAGTTTTACCACAGAAGTTTTTAGCCTAGGATCCAACCTTATAAAAAAAATATTGCCCGACAAGTAAACAAAATTACTGTCTTTAAAATTTTTGCTAAAAATAAAGAGCCCCATTTGAAATTATTGAAACGAATATATGTAACATCAATAGCAAATCACGAAAATGTGGTTAAGAATTACAGTACACATTTTCTTATTTTTTGTCTAGTAGTTTTTTTAAGATTGGTCCAAAAAAATTATTATAAAGAAAGAAACCAATGCAGGTATTTAAAGCTCAAAAAACCACATTTGGTAAAAAGACTATGTTCTCTTTGACGTACGTCCAAAGGTCAAGGAGAAATTGGAACTTGTATGCCCATTGATAACTCGGTTATATAGCTTTAGAAATAATATGTTTAGAGAAATTTGTATCAAAGTTGATAAATATGACATTTGACCAGATTTGTTACACAAATACTTCCACGACCACAGGCAAAAATATTGGCTACAATTTGTCATTTTGTTTGCCATATAGGTATACGTTTTACGGTGCAGTTGCACAACATTCGCAAAAGCTCCGCATTGACTTTGCGAATGCGAATGTTAAAGTTCAAGCGGGAGATCCGCGGTTGCGAATCCGAATGCGAATATTCGCTACAAGCCTGGTACATACATATACATATATAGCAGCAATTAATTTCATCTAAAGAAACGGCTTGTCATCCATCTCCGCTGTGGCGTATGTAGTGCATATTTTTGGCGCAATATTTAACTTCTTCTGGCGGGGCGACATTTACCTCTAGAGTTTTTCTAATTGTATGTCTTTGATATGATACCTACGACAAGGTTGGATCTAGACTAGGTTTGCCATAAATACCTTTGCTATATTTATTTTAAAATGGTGGTCTGGACCAGGGTTCTTGGGAATATTCGCATTCGCATTCGCAACCGCGGAGCTTCCGCACTAATTTTAACATTCGCATTCGCAATAATCAATGCGGAGGTGTTTTTTATTTAAAGATAGTTTCACTTCTTCTTCTTATCCGCCATTGCTCCCATTTGAGGTATCCACAAATTTTTCAAACCAGTCGCAGAAGAAAGTATTAAAAATGAATTACAAAAACTAAAAACGCTGATCAAGTTAGAGATTCCTCAAGTTCTGAAACAGCCAAAGGGATGAGAATGAAGAATTCTTTTTAAAAAGTAAAAAAAAACACGACACATCTGGTTTGGCTTGTGCGCTAGATTCTAATTGTTTCTTAAAAATACTTGACATCCGCATTCGCATCCGCATCCGCGGATGTTAGCTGTTAGATATTCGAATCCGCATTCGCATCCGCGGATGTCTGAAATCCATATTCGCAACATCCCTAGTCTGGACACACAACATTGCAAGTTGATAAAAGCGTTGTAAAATAATAAAAAATAGTTGCTGAACCTTTAGTTAGGTATGCGATAAATGGTATGAGATATCTCTTACTTTATATCGTATATCTTCTGCGATGAACACCTGCGATATATCTCTTCGTTTCGTATGCAAGCGACCATAGTAGGTGTAGACGTGCAGTTAGGGAGCGATATAAAATTTGTGCATAATCGATAAAATAATACAAAATGTTCAAAATTAGATATAAGGGCTGAAATCTTAACATTTTCCGATCTTTTCGAGACCACAATAAAAATTTGGGGTTTCCATTTGAAAAAATGAATGAAATTCTAAAACCCTTCCCCTCGTCCTTTGTTCTCTGATGAATACTTTCCGAGATAGAGTGCGACCGGATAATTTTTGAACACCCGGTATGTAAAGATATATTGAAAAATTTATTAGCGAATTCAATTCTACCAGTTGTAATATTTTCTCAGAATCGGAATATGAATTTTCGGAATACGAACTTGATTCTTATAGTGAAGTTTTGCTATTATTTAAAGCATCATTTTTGATCCTATCAAGGAAATAAGGTTTGATTTTGATCAGGGAATTAGGGTTAAAGCGATTTTTAGCAATATGCTCAGGCATTTCATGTCACCGCGGCCACCTCTGTGCGCGAACTCTCAGGATTTGGAGGAAAGTTGAAGAGATTGAATGTCTAGGTGACATGAATATACGTGCAGCATATTTTGCCGATATGACGTAGGGTTGCCTATTTACATGGGACTTAACTTTTAAGAAAACGTCATACAAACCTTTCTTTAAAGTGCCGTCTTATTACGTGCTTTACCATCCTATGCAACTTATAAAAAACAAAAAACAAAAATTAAGTAAACATTTTATTTTTATTTTTTTTTTTTGATTATCGCATTTTAAAAAATTTATATTTTTACATAAAAACATTGTCTATAATGACAACTTTAAGTGCTCAAATGGGCGTAATGGGCTACTTATGCGTATGGACTCTAGATCGTCTAACGCTCGACCAGTATGATAAATAGACATTGAAATTGTATATTTTTGAAAGAGGAAAGGTGTGTAAAAAACAAAAACAATATGAATAATTGATATTAGCTTTACTAAAGGTCCGAAATCATGAAAATCGCTTCAAGGAAATGGCAGAAGTGAACTTTGTTGCAAGTTCACATGGGAAATTTGCTTACGACGTGATTGGAGGAAATTTTAAGAGACTAGCAGCTAGAGCAAGTCTTCAACTCCTGATGTTACAACAAATTCGTACACCCGAAGCCCTCTACCAATGGGGCGCTGTATGTTTCTAATAAGATGCCTGTAAAAAATAACTGCAACAAACTTTCAGTGAACTTTATTTCGACTATGACTACGTGCCTATTACTTTCATCCTATTTTAAGCTAGTTTAAAAGGTTAAATAACATCATGTTAGGGAACTTCATACGCCTATTTAACGAATCTTTAAATCAATAAATATTTTTTTTCTTTTTAGCTCTTATTGTAATAAAAGCGTGTTGTTAGTTTTTTTAACTATAACTTTATTACTCATTAGGTTTATTTTTACAAACCTTTCCTTTTTATACCTTTCATCAGCATGAAATGGTATTATAACTTTGGTCCGATGTTTGTAAGTACCAGAACAAAAAGAGATAGACCCATGAAAATGTATACTTATATGATCAGAACGTCGAGCTGAGTTGATTTAGCCATGTCCGTCTGTCCGTCTGTCTGTCTGTTTGTATGCAATCTAGTCTCTCAGTTTTCGAGATATCCCGATCAAATTTGGTAGGCGGGTGTATTTTTATAATGTATTAATCATTTGTCGGAACCGGAAGAATCGGACCACTATAACATATAGCTCCCATACAACTGATTGTTCAGATATGAGATTTTTCATTATAACTTCTCCATTTATGCAGCTACGAACATGAAATTTTGTAATACTTGCACCCATTATCAACAGAATACTTACAGTGAAAATTACAAAGATCGGGTCACTATAACCTATAGCTCCCATACAACTGATTGTTCAGATATAAAATTTTGCGTTATAACTCCTCCATTTATATAGCTAGGAACATGAAATTCCGCACTGTTTTCAATAATTATCAACAGAAAACTTACAGTGAAAATTAAAAAGATCGGGTAACTATAACCTATAGCTCCCATACAACTGATTGTTCAGATATGAGATTTTTCGTTATAATTCATCCATTTATGTAGCTAGGACCATGAAATTTCGCGCTGTTTTCACTCATTATCAACAAAAGACTTACAGCGAAAATAACAAAGATCGGGTCACTATAACCTGCAGCCCCCATACAACTGATTGTTCAGATATGAGGTCTTTTATCATAACTCCTCCATTTATGCAGCTAGGAACATGAAATTTCGCACCATTTTCACTCATTATTAACAGAATACTTACAGTGAATATAACAAAGATCGGATGACTACAACATATATCTTCCATACATCTGATTGTTCAGATATGGGGTTTTACTGTAAAACTCCTTTATTTGAACAGCTAAAACCGATAAATTTCGTAAGATATTTTATAAATAATAATACAAAGTCTACTGAGAAAATCGTCAAAATCTATGCTGTATAAGCTTTATCTCCTATAGCACTGATTGTTAAGATACCAGTTTTTGCCATATATCTCCTTTATGTACGAAACTAAACCCAATAAATTGTGTTACCGGTTTACATACCGATCACATAGTGGTGAAAATCACTTAGATTGGTGTCATATAAAGTATATCTTCCATACCTCTGATTGTTTAGATGCGATTTTTTATATAAGTATGTAACTCCTCTATCGATGTATGCAGATGTATTCAAAAGCAGTAATCTGTCAAAGTAAAATTTGCAGATGTTCATGAAAGGTATGAAGCCTTCGGCATAGCCGAAGACAGCGCTGCTCTTACTTGTTTTGTTTTAATAAAGGGACTAACCTTGTAGCTATCATCGGAGGTCTAATATTCTTTTGCAATGAGTGTTGTTGATTTTGATGTTGCTGATGTTTCGGTTTCATTGCAAAAGAATATTAGACCTCCAATGATAGCTTCAAGGTTAGTCCTTTTATTTCAACAAGAAAAAGGAAAGGTGTGCAAAAAAAATAAATAACAAAATAACAACACAAATGAGTAATGAAATTATAGTAAAAAAACCAACAACACTATAAAGAACTATTATAAGAACTAAAAAGAAAAAAATTATTTAGTAATTTAAGGATTCGTTAAATAAGGATATGAAGTTCCCTAACTTGATGTTATTTAACCTTTTAAACTAGCTTAAAATAGGATGAAAGTAATTGGCACGTAGTCATAGTCGAAATAAAGTTCACTGAAAATTTGTTGCAGTTATTTTTTACAGGCATCGCATTAGAAACATACAGCGCCCCATTGGTAGAGATATGTTTGACGGAGTTGGAATATGGGACCACCTACAGGAGAATATGTAAACAAATATGAAATGTAATAAAATAAATAAAGTAAATAAAAATAAAAAAGAAATAAAAAAAATATTTTGTTTTTTCTATTGATATTTTATGTCCAAAAGTATCTAGTAACAAGTTAGTTACATCAAATGCAGAGGAAACCACCCCTGACTACATCTAATGCAGAGGTAACCACTCTTGACTATTTCGCGGCCATCGCCATACAAATATAGTTAGCTTTCGCCAAAGAATATATACAGACAACAAGTGACTTTTAGCTCCTTCCTAATCAACTTAAAGTTAGCTTATAGTTAGATCCATTTCCTGCAGGGCAGTAACAACTACGATATTGGTTTTCGATTTGGGTTTAGTGCAGTTGGTTTTGCTAACTCAATAAAGAAGGAGCGATTCGCTCCTAAAGTAAAAACGTAACGTAGTTTTCGTTAACTTACACACACACATATCGTCGTTTAAAGTACAAAACCGCGTATCTTCATTCTGCAAAACTGCGTAACTGACATTTGCTGCCAATAATTGTATTTGCTCACACAAGTTCTTGGCTCAATCCTAATCCATTCGTCCTGAAATATACTTGCAAGAAATGCGATTGCTTTATAAAAAAGGGAACCATTTAGAAAAAAGTATGAGTGTTTTTACTCTCTAGAAAATAATTAAAGCAATCTCACATATGCGGTTTTTCACTTTGTTGATACGCGGTTTTGTACTTTAAACGACGATATGTTTGTATGTATGCAAAACAAAATATAAGAGGAATTACTCAGATTTCTGGTTAATCAGGTTATGATTAATCAGTTTGCTGATTAATCAAATTAATAAGATTCTGATTAATCAATACGTAACTAATCGGAAAATTAATCATTTTGATTAATCAAAAATAATTATTATTTGCTTAGTTAATTAATTAGCTTTGGTTAATCAGCTTGTTCGATTGATTGATTATTCGCACATCTCTAATGTACTTATTTTACGATGCTTGATGTTGAAATGATTTTGGTGTATAAAAACGCTGTCTTTGTACTCTGTTCTCCTAAAACCTACCTCAAATTCGCCGATAGTAAACCGTGTCGCTGCTAATGAGTTCTGAGGTGGCATATCCGGACTCATGACCTGATTTCAAGGTTTTTCAGGTATATGTTAGTAACCGCATAATATAGATTAGTTACAATGTAAGCAATAAACAATAAGAGTAATAAATATGTGTTATTTGTTGTGTTAAAATTTGATTTACAAAAGCAAACTAACTGCACATAAACGAATAGCTGTGCGCTTGTCTTTTTACAGAAAATAAAAATAAAACTGTCCATATAACTTAAATTGAAACATCTTCTAAAAATCACCTCATCATCATCATTGTCGATCATTTCTTTTGTTGATGCCGTGGTTTCATTTCGTCTGATTGAGCCCTGGTGTATATCTAGATCCACTTTCAAGCATTGGAAGCTTCGCATCAAGAAAACGATGGGCATTGGCAATACCCCAGCAAGAATCATAGCTAAAGCTATAACCATCACCCAAGACGGATAGTTAGCTTGTTGCACTGCTCCCTATAAAAATTTGCGAAAAAGTTAGTTTAATTTTTAATGATTCTCCGCATGTATATAATGTTTATTACAAGTTGTGCATTCCAAGCTCCGTAAGTGGGGTTCTTGATCACCATAAAGACCACAGATGAAACTAAAATGGCCACCATAATCACTGGTCCAATATAACGCCAGGTCAACTGCCAGTAGAGGCCGGGTCGGTATCCAGTCATCTGATATATGTCCTCGGTAAATCTGTGTAGGATATGCAGTCAAAATGTGTTAGTTGTTACACCGTGCGACAAAAAAAAAATAAAATAAAATTAAATCCAAACACACAAAAGAATCGATATATTCACAAAACTATGGACCAAATATAGTAAAACTGAGTTTTTATTTTTTACTCTGACCTCAGGATTTTTTTTTCAAAGTACTTTGAAATTTTAAAGATATGGTTAGTTCAAAAAATTATTAAAAACAAATCAGTGCAATGTGGAATAACAATATGGGTACCAAATGAGAGAGGAAATTCTGTAAAACTTAAAACCAATAAAGTTTTTTGGCTTACAAGGACGAATAGGTGCTCTTTTAATAAATTTTATCTTTATAAATTAATACAATTTTCAGGACGAAAATCGATGATGAGGTCGTGCATATATTAGTCCTCAAACAGTAATTTTTTCAAAAAAGATATTGCAAATTTTCAAGCCTATTTAAGAAAAAAATTTATAAAGGACATTTTGCATACCCATTCGTCCTTTTCCCCAAAAAAATTTATTCCGGTATAATTCTACAGAACTTTTTCTTTTATATGATACCCTTATGGATATTCTATATTGGACTGAACTTTTTGAACAATTAATTAATACAATTTTCAGGACGAAAATCGATGATGAGGTCGTGCATATATTATTCCTCAAACAATAATTTTTTCAAAAAAGATATTGCAAATTTTCAAGGATATTTAAGGAAAAAATTTATAAAGGACATTTTGCATACCCATTCGTCCTTTTCCCCAAAAAAAT